GGCAGAGCAGCCGGGGCTCAGCTCACTGCCCGTGAGTTCTGACAAACTCAAGGATGCTTCGGTCGCTGGAACTGGGAAAGGTGTAGGACAGAGTGAGGATATACGGGAAGGGTGGGCTTCATGTCGGTGAAAATCCAGTGAAGCCTTTACATTTAAAAGGGGGGTAGGAAAGTTTCTGAACTGAAGAGCCTAGGAAACCCAAGGGTGGCAAACTGCCCGGCTTGGGACAAGGTATCACACAAGTGAAGTCATACAAACTCTGCAGCTTCAAATAAAGAAAGGAAAAAAGCTGGCAAAGCCAAATGAGAAACACGAGTGCCAACAGATACAGTCCCATTTGACCAGCGTGCAGGGAAGCAGCAAATGAAACCAGACCTGCAAGCTCCTACAGAGATGCTTAAAGCCTAAGAAACACGATGGGGCCACGGAAAACCAAGTTTAACTGACAACAAGCAAAGCAGAAACACTGAGGAAGGAAGACCACCACTGGGCCAGTGCAGCATCAAGCTTAGAATGATGTTGGTGACCTCAGAGCAGGACTGAAGAGTCCAAACAAAGTCTCGAGATAATCACATGTTAAAAAAAAAAAACCCCACGTGATGCCATGGGGATGAAAACCCAGGCCTGCATCGGGGACAGGCAGTGTTAGGGCTACAGTACTGACTGCCTGAGCAGGGCTGCTGCTCCCCGTGACGTGCAGAGGGACAGCCAAGAGACTGTCAAAGCTGGACACACCACAGCTACATCGGGTTTCAATCATCCCGGCCCGGCTGAAGAGATGTTATGTCACGGTACAAGGCTGACATTAAAATTTACCTGGATCCATGCCAGCGCAACAAAAGCCCAAGAAATCTCCCGCAGGCTTTCTCAGCATAAAAAGGGAAGATTACAGACAGTAAGGAAGCTTGTTAGAAGGAAAGAAATTAAGGTGATCAATAAATGCAATGTCTGCAAACAACCTGCAGGCTCTTTAAAGATGCTGGTTGGGAGGGTCAGAGCAAACGCACACCACTTATTAAACAGTGTTTCAGAGAAATCCAAGGATGGCTGGCATGACTGAACAGCATCAGGTTAAGAGAAGCAAAAAGTTATCTGAAGTCGTGTCCCTTGCGGAAAATGTGAGACCAGACTCTGGCAGGTGAACGTAAAACACAGCAACACCGGCCAAAATTAATCTTGAGAAAATCTGAGGGAAAAAAAAAAACCAATCAAGATTAATAATAAAGCCTTTTTCAGATACATAAGCAGGAATCAGTAGGTTCAAGAAGAGATCAAGGAGCAAAAGGAACACTCAGATATGACCAGAGCAGGAAAATTAACGTCTTGAGTTTCTTTCACAGCGCAGGGGCACAGGGAAGCTCTGGCTGGAAGGTTTCTCTGCAGGCAGTATGTCAGAAAACCTGCCTCAAACCCAGTTGTCAGAAGAGGCGGCGGGTTCAACAGACAAAACAAGCAGCAGGATCACAGGGTACCCAGCCAGGCATTTAAAAGAGCTCAAGGGTGGAAACACCAAACTATCAACTGTAGCTTGCAAGGTCTCTCCTGCCTTGGCAGCAGAGGCACGAGGAGGTTAATCCACTGGCAGTTTTAAAAAGGGACTAGAAAACTACCAACTCCTCTTAGCCTAGAGACTAAAACTAGCAGAGAGCTTTGCAGCAGGTACAGAAGAGCCAGCACAGTTTGGCATCGTGATGCTACAAGACAGTTGAAAAGCACAAAGACAAGGGAGGTCACATCCTACTTGGATTTCCAGAAAGCATTTACCAAAGGTCACCCTCAAGCTCTGGGAGAAACCAAGGTGCCACCGGCTGACAGGACAGGCCCTGCCTGGATCAGAACGTGGCTGAAAGGCTGGAAAGAGGGAGGAGAGACGAACTGACAGCGTGCACCCTGGAGGGAGGGGAGGAGAGCTGAGCTCTGCGGGGAGCTGCTCTAGGGCCTGCACCGATCAGCGTGCGCTTGCCGGGGCAGGGAGGGGGACAGGGGGCAAGGGGCAAAGCCTCCCGACGAGGCACAGCTCATCTGAGCCACAAAGACAACGGCCAGCTGCGAGGAACTGGAGGAGGCTGAGCAATAGTGAGTGATTCAGTAAAGCACCGACACAAAAACTCGCCGTAAAACAGCAGAAAGGAGGAAAAACTACCCTACTTGTGGGTATGCCCAACCAATCATTTCTTTTGGGAGCAAGACCCAACACAGATGGTCCCGTGGAAAGAGAAGCTCAACGGTCAGTGAACACAAAAGACTCGAGCTGTGTGTTGGGAATTATGAGGAAAGGAACTGTGAACAGAACAAGGGGAACCAAGCCACAGCATAAATCCACAGTGTGCTTCCACTGCGAACAGTGAGTGCCATTTTACTCACCCCATTCCAAAATACGTAGTGCCAGAAGGCACAGAGACGGGCAAAAAACACGTAGTGCCAGAAGGCACAGAGACGGGCAACCAGGATCACCAGAACCTTGGAACAGATGCTGCACAAGGAAAAACTACGTAGGCCAGGCAGTAGGCTGGTCAGCTGAGAAATTCCTTAAAAAATGAGTGGTGGGGAGCTGGTAAATAGGCAGCAACTGCTCACCTTCTCTTCAAATCCAGAACTAGGGCACCCAGTAAAACTGGTGAGATGAGTTTCAGACTTTTCAGGTGAAAGTGGAACTCCTCACCACAAAAGCACCGTGGATGTCAGTTCATAGAGGTTCAAAAAGAGATTGGGTAAAGACATGAAGTCACAAGCCAAGCTGTAAAACCCAAAGATGCCTGCTGATCGGTGACGGGAAGCCTCCGAAATGTAAAACCACTGGGATGGAGGCTCTTCTGGGAAAGCCTCCGTGTGCTGCAGGCTAATGACAGGGCTGGTGGCCAGGCCCTGGCCCGAGGTGAAGCTGAGCAGGATGGAGGAGCTACAGGACGTGAGAAACCGCTGGACATGACGGCTGCCAGCGTGAGGAGGGGCACAAAGCAGAGGAGCGGCAGGAGGGATGGCGGGGTTCAGAGGTGGGTGAGGAGGTGGGGTGAGGAGGAGCGGGGTGAGAAACAGCCCAGCTCACACCGAAGGGAAGAACTGTGGACCTTTTAGAGCGGAGCCTTGCCAGGCCAGCTCTGCCTGGGTAATCGGAGCAGAAACACTATGTAAGGCCGAGGTTAGGCAGGTAGCAGTAGCAGAAATACCACATTTGGGTATGGAGAGAGCAAAACTGGGACCAACGGAGGAAAGTCATCAGGAGCAGGTTGTTTATTTAGGAGGAGACCGAGGTGGAGAAAGAGAGGGCCGAGGGTGGTGAAAAAGAGAATCAAGAAATGGGGAAAGTAATACTTAAGTCTGCAAATCCTGTGATCTGAGGTGTTCAGGGGTACCAGGCCAGCCTCTGGCTTGATCCACACGGCCAAATCCGGAGGAGAACCCAAACTTGTTCTGACCACGTCACACAAATCAAACTTGCTTCCGCGATCGGGAAACCCAGGGCACAGGGTGCTTTGCCCAGCTTCCAGAGAACACCCAGATGGACCCATCGAGCATCCTGGATTTACCACATCGGTCGTTCCAGGGACTGGTGCCACTGGCATCCCCCAACCACTTCCTAACAACACCCTTGCGCTGACTTTACACTTACACCTCCTGTTTGGTACCAGGGAAGACAAGACACTGGGTAAAACGCACCAAGTCAGAGCTCTGACAGAGCTACTCTCAGGTCCTCACCACTGCAGGATCATGGGCAAGGCTCATCTCTTTGTGAAGCTGGCTTGGATTCAAAAATAATCTGCTCCGTTTTCAAAGGCTTAGGGGGTTTTGCCGCTTTTCAAACACACACAAAAGCAGACTGTCAAGACCCATAGCAAAAAATAACAGACGGCTTGAAGTCGGTCAAATTTCCAGCATCATCTGAGCATTTTGACCCCATTTCAGTTTCTAATAAAACACAATTACTTACGAAGATGTGGGTTAAGAACCCTCTTCAGTTGTTCCCCTTTGGGTGCACTGGATATTATGTCAGTTAACCTATGAAAGATAACAGAGCGCTGTAATTCCCAAGAAGAATGGGGTTTAAGACTACACTGTACGGCTCACAAGGACCAAACACTTTCCATTTTAAAAAAAAGACAGACAAAAAGGCCAGTGCTACGTGACGAGACTACCCAAAACCACGCTGCCTTTCCCAGTTCCAAGCAGTTTGGGTTTATTCCAACATCCAAAAGCCGTTACCTTTCCAAAGCGGGCAGAGGCGCGGGCGCTTTGGCGCTGTCGACGGGGTATCGCTCCCGCACGGCGAACCTGACGTCATCCGCCCCATCCGTGCGAAACCTCAGAATGTTTAAAATCACGTACTCGTGGTCTGTCAGGACGATGTTACCCTGCGAGGACACCACAGGGGACCATCAGCCACGGCCACGCTCACGTCCTGGCTTACAGGGGCCACGCTGGGAGCTTTGCCCTCACCCTGTCGTACAGCTCGACGATGAGGTGATAAGCAGCCTCGTCGCTCCCGAACTGGAAGTCCACAATCCTGTCTATCCCCAGCTGCTTCACACTGACGAGCCTTCTGGTCTTTAAATGCTTACGGCACTGTCAGGAACGGAGAAAACGGCCGTGAGGTGATGCAAACAGACCCGCTCGTGACGTTTTATACTCAAATACGTCCCCAGCCGCAGCTCCCTCCGGTGACACTGATCACTTTTTACTTCGTACGGACACCGTCAGGGTAAAAAGGGCAACACAGAGACAAGACAGCTCTTGGCAAAATAAAAGCTTGATATTTATAGGCAATATAATCGTTTCAGATTCTGAACATCGAGTCATTTTTGCCAGTAAAAACTGCCATTTGTTTAGCTCGACAAGCGAGCAGCTAGTTAAAATTCAAAGGGTTTGTTTTAGGAAGAGAAGCGGGATTATCCCTGCATCCATGTATGGCACGCTGGAGAACCTCGGCCGAGTCATTTCAAGGAGGCTGTACCCAGGGGTGGTGGGCTAAGCAGACCCCTGTCAGTCAGCACCCAGGTTCCGTCCCTGCAGACACACGGTCTAACAAGATCTGAGCCCTCCAAGTCCAGCAGACTGAACTGCAGGACTCTATTAACACAGGGTGCTGCGTCCCGGGCCTAAAAATTTGGACAATGCAACTGGAACAACAAGGACTCTGCTGGGATAAAATTCCTAAAAGGTCTGGGCTGCCCGGAAAAGGTCCAGCAGATTAATTATTAGGCTTCATAAATTGACATTTTCATTGTTTCAGGCACTGAACATCAACGACGTGACCTCAGGTCCCCATTTGCTCTACCCTTGTCTTCAGGCACCTGCTTGATCACGACCCACCAGGCAAATCCTTCCACCCTTTTCTTCTGTCTCCAGGGACAGAAAAGGCACGTTGCTTTCTCACATCCAGCCGCCTTATCACAAAGAAGCTGCAGGTGAGCTCACCTTCATGGCAAAGCCAGACGGCATCATGTTCTTTGGCCACTCGAACTCTGTCGTGTGGATGCGTATGCCGGATTCAAGCAGCAGCGTGGCCTTGCAGTCCGGTCTGTTAACAAAAGAAAGATTCACCACTTGGGCACACCAGTAGCCGCCCTTCAGCCCACACCAGTTTGCACTGGAATGAGATCACAGCACCACTGGAGCGAGATCACAGCACCACTGGAGCGGAGAGGTTAGGGGCAGGACACGAGCCCCACCTCCCACTTGGCCATCGCTTCCCACTCCTCCAACTCCTCTCTTCCCTCCCCACAAGAAGAAGCCCTGACCATTGTGTGGTTGTACACTAACACCTTTGGCCTTTTGTGTATTTTCTGCAGTATTTCACACTTCATAGGCTATTTCCCAAGAGCTTCCTGGGTAAAAATGACTGCATTTTATCAAAGAATAATAGAAGTTCACTGAAAACTAGTCAGAAAAGCCAAACACCTGTCAACAGAAATTACATACATACAAAAAAAAGTCTAGCTCTCACAGGCATGGTAACAGCATAAAGAAATTTAGAGTTCTTACTTTTGAAGGCGAATAAGATACGTCTTATTATCCACATCATAAACATTGTTTACTCTCATTCCCAATAAGCTGTCAAAAAGAAAACACATGCTTTGGAGAATATGACACACAAACCACACAAGTGGCTGAAAAAATACCAGTGACAATTAAAACATACAGAAGTGCAAGTTATGATGAATTACCAAGCAGTAAGGGAAGAGGCAGCAAACTTAGATTAACGGAATGAGCTGGAAACCCAAATAACCAAAAGGTGGAGAAATTGCTATTAAAATGTGCAACAAGCAAGAAGGGCCACTGCAGACACCCCAGCTGCAACCAGACAGCTTCTGGATCTCCACCACAAGACGGAGGCCAGCCTGCCGGCTCCTGCAAACACTCCTCTTTGTGGCAGGGATGCAAAACTGACTGGATATACTGGAGTACTTTGCTCCTCCGGACTAACTTCTGCCTCACTTGGGAAGCCCTCTGCTAGAATGGGGCACTGGTATTCCCAGTACAATCACAGAAATGGCCTGGTGGGTCAATCTCATAATTTTGTTCAGAGTGGGGCTGAAGATGCAGATTGCCCTGGCCACTAGAAGGGTATGAGAGCGCCGTGGGGCACGGATGTGAGGAGCGTTAGAGCTTCTCAGCTGGGTGGGAGAGCAGATACCAGACCACAGCACCCTCCCCGTGCAAACAGGCAAGGGAGAGCACTCCCAGTTGCACCCCAGGAAGAGGCTGGGGGCCAGGAGCAGGACAACGAGGGGGACAGAAAGAGCACCAGGCCTTCCCTGGTGGTGTGACAGCGGGGAGGCAGCGAGGACTCGGTGCTCTGGGGCACGAAGAGGTGCTGGGGGCCACTCGGGCAGCATCACACAGGCTTTGCGCTGGCCCAAGGTGCCGCAGCCCCCACCACCCCGCAAAACGTGGGGCTGGGCTCCCCAGG